CGCTTATCACCCCCTCTTCCCTACGTGGCCACGCCACGTTCCCAGTCAACTCACCCCAGCACCCCTCCCCCAATGTCTCCGACTTCCCGGTCGCCGTTCTCCCGCAGCAGTTCTCCTGTCCACCCCTCTCTGTACCTTTTCCTATCCTTGCTCTCCTCTCTTCCGGGCTCGCCCCATTCCCGTCTTTCCCATCCGTCCCCACTGCCCTTACCTCTCCCCGTCTCCCCTCCAACGCTCTCCCCGTTCGCCTCTTCCCCCTTCTCCTGCCTGTCCCCTTACCTCCCCTTCCCGCTCTCCCACTCTATGCTTCACGATAATGCCATTGCCAGGGGCCGGCCGAAGCGAGCCGAGGCGGCCGAGGTGTGGCCGAGGCGGCCGAGGTGTGGCCGAGGCAGCCGAGGGCTAGCCGAACCGAGCCGAGCCGTACCGAGCCGTGCCGAGCCGAGCCGAGTTGTAGTAACTACCGAGCGCATCTATGCCAGACTCTTCGATCCTCAGCTGCATGCCTCAAACTAGTGTTATGTCTAATCAATTTGCAGTCGGTGCATGCACCACAAACCAGATATTTCAGTTAAAAACCTTGGCGTAATCGCCATCACTTGGAAGACAATACAAACAGCTTCGAATACAATCCTCAGTTGCCCGGCTGTTACCGTTGTTTGCGTCTAAAACAACTTTTAATTACTTGGAACTTTAGCGAGAATTAGAGATATCATTGAGATTAGCAACATCCTTGACAGATTTAGTCAGGAAAGCAGTGTTCGCAAACTTCTGATACCAAAATGCAAAAGCAGCGATCCGTAGTAGTTTACGGGTTGCTTTTGCATTTTGGTGCCAGTAGTAGATGGGTTACTGATGAAGCGCAAAAAAGCTTAGTAATCCAAATGGCAGAAGTGCGCGACACGGCGACTCTTGGAGTAAGCAATGTTTTATTATCGCTGTGGGCATTTCGCAGTTAATTTGAAGGACTGTAAATACCGAACTGTATCATAGTGGGTAAGACAGGCAACATAGGCTTATCCTGCTTTAAAGAATCAAAAGTCGCGCACTTCAACTTGTGGAACAGTGCATCCAGCTTTTGACTCATATGCGCTAAACTTAATGCTTTTCCACTCAGTCTCCCTCCTGCCGCCCAATTTTGGTACTGCAAAATTTGTGCATTTTTTGACCAATTTTTCAGTTTATTTATTATGAATATTTAGTACCTAGCGTCTGGTTTTATGATAGTTCTAGCAGTTTTCAGCACTTTGGGAGGCAGACTTTTGTACTGTTGCGGGAATTTTTTCTTTCATCAGTTCTGTCTTCTTGCAATAGATTAACTGCTGAAGATTAAAATGACAGCAATAGCATGGTCTTAAATTTGCCAGAAAACGTCACAAACTGTCGTGCCGTCATTCCCGTCAGAAGCACCTGTCGAGATTGCTAAGTCTCGAATTGCCATAATTGTATAAAATGTGTATTTTGTAACATGTGGATGTTTACTACTTGTTGTG